CTGATTCTCATTTCTTTTGTATAGCAAAGTATAAAAAGCTAGGATAAGATCAGATATAAAAGATAAGATGTAAATAGAATGAGGAAGTAACTTTAGCTTTTTTGCCATGTTACTGCGGCAAAGAGCCAAAAGCCATGTTTATACTAATAGGACAACATGTGGATTAAAGGGAATATTTACTGATCAGATGTCATTGCTAATTAATTTAAATCAGTATACAACTTGGTTTTTATTGTTTTTATTTCCAAATTTTCTGAAAGGTTCAGAAAAATTGTGAAAGGTGATGTTTCAATCAGCTGTTGTTTGATGTAACAACTGATAAATGGATTGTTTTTATTATTTTATTAAAAAATACATAATGAATTCCACAGTACATCTAGTCAACCTATCTGAAGGAGTTCTCTGACCTGAAAAAAAAAAAAAACTTGCAAAGACTTTTAAAGTCAATGTGGCATGTTTGATTTTCTGATGCTCTGAAATGCTCATTGAAAAGTTTCACGACCTGCAGGTCTTCTGCATCATGCAGAAGTCAGCTAAGACAAATGCAGTTCTTTCCCTAGGAAACCAGCAGCATGAATTTTTTTTCACTTTTTTAAGCATTCATTCCAATTAAAGCAGCCTTGTGCGGGTGCAGCCAAGCGGCGCTGTTATTCAATTCCATTAAAATGAATGAAGCAGTGGTACGCAACCATGCAGTTAACAGGAATTAAAACTAGAGGCAAGATGACAGATTACAGACAAAATTGAGTGGTGCATGTGGGTGGGTGTGTGCGTGCCTTTGTCTTTGTGTTAGTACCTGTATGTAGGAAAAGTTTCTTGGGGCGCTGCATGTTAGTAGTTATGCATGCATGGATGTGTAAAAATGCTTTTATACCAGTAGGCTTGTTGGGCCACCAAAAACTGTGGAGCAGAAAAGTTTGGTTTTGCCATAAGGATGATGTTGAATTATCACAAATCATCACAGACTTCAGACAAGATGAGCATGCTATCTCCAAAGAAAACTAACAAGGGGAAACGTTTTTGGTAACATTGTGCCTCCTTTTTCATTCCACCTACAATTCCTATATGCCACTTTAACAGGAACACCTATACCCTTGCTCTTTCATGCAATTATCCAATCAGCCAATCATGTGGCAGCACAGCAATGCATACTAACTGAAACAAAAGCTTCAGTTAATATTTACATCAAGCATCAGAATGGGGGAAAATGTGATCTCAGTGACTTGGCCATAGCATGGTTGTTGGTATCAAATGGGCTGGTTGAGTATTTCAAAAACTGATGATCTCCTGGGATTTTCACACACAACAGTCTCTAGAGTTTACACAGAATAGTGTGAAAAGCCAAAAAAAAACATTCAGTGATTGGCAGTTCTGCAGCTGGAAACACATTGTTGATGAGATAGGTCAGACGACAATGTCCAGGCTGGTTCAAACTAACAGGAATATGCCATACCTTGAGGCAAATAGACTATATCAGCAGAAGACCACATCAGGTTCCACTCCTGTCAGGAAAGAACATGAATCTGAGGCTACAGTGGGCTCAAATTCCCTGAACCTGGACAGTGAAGACTGGAAAAAGACCAGGCAATGAGTGTTTTTTTCTGATCTACAACTGTCCAGTTTCAGTGATTAGTTTAAATGAGCAGGTGTACAGATGTTTCTATTAAAGTAGCCAGTGAGTGTATAACTATAGTTATATCGATCGTAATTATAATCACGGCATAATTCATTGATCTGATTAGAATCACATTTTTGTCGCCAATGTCCATTTACTTCATTCTAAGAAAGCCAAAAACCACTCACAGCGTACAATTCACACTTAACACCCCAACACCCTCCTACACTCTCCCAAACATGGAGTAGCCATGCAGTTAATTAAAAACAAAAGCTGGAAATAATGAATCAGGTTGGAATCCCCTGGTTTTTAGAGACCCTATTATGAGGAAGACTGGGTTGGGAAAATCTGTGAAACATAATTAATGAACACAGGGGAGGGAGAGGCCAGAATAATGAATGGTGTAAGTTCTGCTTGGATAGTTTTTGGCTTTAGTGGGGCTTCGAGTATGATGCACTAACAGTGCAGAAAAAGAAAGTAAAAGTAAAAGTAAAACTTAAGATGTAGGATTTCTCAGAGATCACTTCCCCTGAAGTTCAACCTGAATCTGTTTGTGGTACTCAAGGTCACCACACTGTGGCAGTGTTAACTCTGAGTCTAATGGACAACACAGGTTAAAAGTGTTGAACCAGACCTCTGGTCTATAAGGACACACTTCATGTTTCGTTTATATTCTGAACTGATTGTGTAAAACCGTGTGGATTTTCTCCTCTTGAATGCATTTAATGTGTTATTTTACCCTGCCCTGTTTGGTTATTTCAATTGTGGACATTAAGAGAGAAGAGCCACTCCAGGCGGTCTGAAATGCATGCATATGCTTTAAGAGTGTGCTGATTAGTAGTGAGAGGAAGCATAGTGCGGCGACCGGCTCTGGGCCTGTCGTACAGGCCTGAAAGTGGAGCAACACACAGTGCCAATTTCACTGTCGTTGATCTAGAATCACGCAGGAGCGGGGGCGCAGTTGAAACAGCTAATTTGGGGAAAGCATTCAGCCTAGGCCTCATTTTATCCGTGCTCTACTACTGTACCGCAAAATGAATGAGGTTTCCTGTCACCCTGGTGAGCTCCCATTACCCAGTCATTTATTTCCATCCTAGAGAATAATGTTTAGATATTATGCACGAATCCTAACCCAAGAGTGATTGAGAGAAATAGGGAGAGTTTTGATGCTGTTTCTGTCTTCAATCTTTTGTGTCGATGTTTGTATGATTGAATTGTCTCATGCACAGTGGTAAACAATGCAAAAAAAATCAAATTAAAATGGAGACCAATCAAGTGGAAAATGTCTAAATAGAAATAAAGAACACCTGGAAACAAAACTAACTAAAATTAAAACTGGTTATTTTACAATATCTCAAATTATATTGGCAATTCCACTGAGTAAAAAAAACATTAAGGCATCTCTATTAGTATAAATTTCCAACTAATTTTAAGCAGATATTCTTGAGCTTGGCCAAATCATGGTCTGCGTTCTCTCTTTGAGCATCTCTATATATCAAAATAAACGTGTAAGTCTTTGCTGCTATGAAACCTACAATATAGTTTACATTTCTCATTAGATTGGGGATCTACGCAGAATTTTATGAAATTTGCTCCATATATAAAATAAGAAAATGTGAGCTCGTGACTGCAGTGAAGACCCCCTCTTTGCTCTCACACCATCATCCCACAAACATTCATCTCATATCTTATATCTCTCTCTCTCACTCTCCCTCTCTCTGTCTCTGTCTCTGTCTCTCTCTCTCACACACACACACATCGGTGAAGTGGTGCTCATGTTGCAGTACCACAGGCTCAGTCCTAAACTAGCCAGTTCTGGTTGATGATTTACAACAAAATTGCTTATAAATTGAAGTAGAAAATGTTTTGCAGATCTGGCAGCTTTCAACTCCTGCTCCCATTTGTCACCCGACATTTCCTTTTTGTGTATAGCAGAGAATTAATTAGCTGGCACTACCGGAAAAGTTTACAGCCATTATTTATGAGAGATGAAATTTCTCGGACAGGAACTTCACTGTGGCCTTCTATTTATTTATTTATTTATTTATTTATTTATTTATTTATTTATTTATTTATCCATCCTGTTGTAGCTGTTTTCCAACTTTTGTCTCTGGGCATCAATTTATATTCTATCAGTTGTAGATGTTCCTTGATAAGTTTGTACTTGTACGTCCATAATTGCAAATGCAACACATTTGCCTTGGTGTCTGAATGGGCATGCGGCACACTTCAGAATATCAGATTTCATCTCCAGCCTCACATTTGTTCATATGTTTTGTTGGTCTCACTGAGAATATTTCAATTGATAGTGTGCTGCTGTAATGCAAGGGTGCCTATAATGCCTATAATAACATACCCAATACCTAATATACATTTCACCCCTGTGCATTTTAGTTGACTTTAGACTTCGTTCTTATGATGGTTTCAGCTTCAGCATGTGCAGATTCACTCATATGCACCTGGAGAATTCTATAATGAAGGCCATTTTCTGAAGAACTGAGGATAAAAAGGAGATAACTGGCTCTCTGGATCATTAGCAAAAAATGATTTTTCTACTGCACATCCAAAGCAAAACAAGACCTAGAAATCTAGATTCAGTTCATCTTCTACAAACCTGGAAGCTAGTCAATGTGCGTAACATCATCACGGTGCACATTTCTTGGATTAACTTTGACTGTTGGCTACCCAGCTTACATAAATTGACAAAGATTTTGTGCCTGAGCCTCCTCACTAATCCACACTTCCATCTTTTCCATTTTCAAACAACAAAAATCAGAAATGGTGTGAATTTGGATTGAACAGATAATGTGTTCTACACACATACACATTAATCATTAGTGGTTTGCTTTAGTATCTCAATCTAAACACTGCCATAAAATCTCCAAAATAAAACTATATTTCTGCTATATTTCTGTACAAACTGATTCACAAAATAAATATGCCTTTTTTTGTAGAGCTGGCGTGCACAGGGCAATATATCGCTGATGGGGTCTCCAAATAATATAACAATTAATTTTATTCATAATTGAACATCCTCCATCGTTATTAAAAGAAGATTTTGCTGCAAAATCATTCAGGTATTATAATGAAAAGATGCTTAAAGGACCCCACTTTTCTTAGGAGCAGCACTGTATGTGCATCCCAGCCTTGTAAAAGATCTTAATAGCATGTCCAGAAAACTTTTATGATCTAACTGAAATGTAAAAATCTGCAAACTTAAGTAAATTTGATAAAATATTATTAGATGGGTATTGTTGTCAACTATAAACAATAGTTTCCTTCTTTGGGAAAGTCATTGTTATTTTATTGGCTAAGGTTATTTCATTGGCTAAGGTTATTTTATTGGCTAAGGTTATTTTATTGGCTAAGGTTACTTAGGGTAAAGACCCTGGAGGTCTAATGGCTAAGGATCCAGTGCTCTCACCACTATGGCCTGGGTTTGATTCCCGGGCAAGGAACCAGCCCAGCCACTGGAAGTACACTCCAAGTGCTGGCCCCAAGCCCGGATAAAATGAGAGGGTTGCATCAGGAAGGGCATCCGGCATTAAAAATCTACGCCAATTCAAACATGCGGACCAATGATCTGCTGTGGCGACCTGTAAAGGGAGCAGCTGAAAGAATAACAACTTAGAGTTCACAGAAAAGTTCACAGGTTGTCAAAGGTTCACAAATTATGAACTGTAGCGAAGTAACTGAGTTTGAAGAACTGTAGAAGTTCAGGCGTTGAGTAAAGGTGTATTCTGCAAATTGCTATTTGTTGTTATATTTTGTGACTGAAAAATGACTTCTTTTTCCAGCAGCGATAGATTTTTTTTCCAGTGTTTTCTAATGTCACCAGGGGCATAAAAGTAGGATTTACGTTTAATTTAATTTCAGTAAGTAAATAGATAAAAAACACTGTATAGTCCAGACTCCGCCCACTTCCAGTTCAAATCCAGATACAGATATTTAGAGAACTAACAGATACAAAGATAGTGGGATTATGTTACACACCTAGTATAAAGTGTTGCACATTGTGTGGTACATAAATCTGCTAGGCCCACCTTCGAGTACCACTAATTCCCAGAACTGTACAACTAGATTGTACACTAGACCGGTGGCCAGTGGACGATTCCTGCATTTGGTACCAAAGCTTCCAGTAATTTGTGCAGTTTAAAAAAAAAAAATGCATAATTTCACATTAGGGCTGTCGCTGTGCAGCCAGCGGTCTGCATGATTTGAACATGGTGCACATCTATAGCTCCCACCTTTATAAGTCATTTATCATTAAACTAGTTTACAATTAAATCTCCTCTTCAGTCTGGCTTTAGTGCCAGCCTTTCCCCAGTGCTGAGAAGCATTAGGACTTTCTTTGTGGTGATGATCATGATAATCTGCCCCAAAATGCCTGCCCTCTCCATCCATGGCAAGGTAGTGGGCCACCAGCATCCGTAATCACTGATGCTGCTTTGTAATCAATGCCTACAGAAATA